CCTTCTTTCGATAGTTCGGGGTGCATGGCAGGTAGGCCTTAGCCTATTTATAACATGCCGGACTTATTTAAAGGTATCGGCACGTCGGGTAGTTTACGTAGACTGAGCTGGCCAACACGAGACCTTAAGGTTGTGTTGTGAGCTAGCACGACGTTAAATAATAATAAAAAATAAGTCAAGCCTGAAATCCCTACGCCATTCACCTATGAACCGACATCTCTGAATAATGAAGTAGCTCTAACTGATTTGGGAGATGCCAGTTGGTTCCTTGGTGAAAGGATCAGAAGGTCTTCACCCACTGGGTCATTGATGCTCGACCAATAGCAGTACATCAGGAAATCCATCTCAGAATTAAATTTGATAGCCAAGAGAAGTCTTCCCAATACGCCTATGAAGCCTAGTTGCAAGTCGGATTTGAAAAGAAACGCTGGGAAGGCCACTGCAGAAGTTCTGTATGACTATCAGAGGCTGATAGGAAAGTATAACTTTTCATCTTGTATGGTGAGGTGCGACACGGCTCAGGCGACATCTAGGATGGCGAGGCTCATGTGCAACCCTTCGCCACAGCATTATCAACATGCATTACAGAATCCCAAGTACCTCTCAATGTGTCCAGGTAGAGGATTGTTCTAAGAGAAAAATCATCGCCATATTCAAGAGTTTGGGGAGTATGGTATTCAGTGTGCCGTCGAATCGAGCTTCGCAGATGATTTTGACACCGCAAGATCGACAATAGGGTACATCATATTCATGGCAGACTGCCCTGTAAACTGGAGGTCTAAAATTCAGACAACGGTCTCCACACTTACATGCGAAGCCGAATATGCTGCAATATTTGAAGCCACCAAAGATTGCGCATGGATCAGAAATTTTCTAACTAAACTCGGTCACATGCCCTGTGGTCCTATACTAATACTGGAAGATAACACTGGCGCAATGAAATGGTCAGTAGATGATGCTATGACTTCGGGGCGACGACATGCACTTATTGAGTATCATTATATCGTACAGGAAGTCCTAAGTAAGAATATTGAGATATGGCAGATTACATCAGAGAATAACCCTGCCGATGGAATGACCGAACCCCTCACAACAGAATTATTTAGGAAGTTTATCGAACAGCTGGGAATTGAGGGATGAACATGTATCATCGCCTAAGTACTGAGAGGGCGTGTAAGCAGAATTATGTCTGCATAAGTGGATACAGTCCGTAGGCGAGATTATGATCGGCGACAGGAGTACAGGAGTTATCATATCATGACTCGGGTAGTCAAGTAGGCTCCAGAACCATGAGGTAATATTCTGGTGTAGTGTAGAATATGCTAGAGCCGAGGCTGTGCAGTCTGATATTGAATAGCTCATGTATGATGAGGGGTCACAGAAGGATATTTAGGGCGAGCCTGTAAAACCATCGTAGAGGACAAACAAAAAACCTTGAATAATATTTACGATTGGCTTGTTCCCTCTATTTTACTCTTCCTATCGCGTGATATCTAAAGGTTTGCGCAATCTGCGCTTACAAATGCAATTTATTGTCCTGTCTGAGTCTACGACCATGTAGGACATGCAGGTCCTCTCCGCCTATAGGCCAATGATACCTATACCAGTAGTATATCCCCTCCTATGCCTCCCGTACAGCTCCCCTCAAACAGTACCACCCCTCACAAGTTCTCATTCGATTATATACTTGAAGGTGCCCTTTGTCTTTCATCTTCTCCCCTCTAAAGCCAACGAGACTTTGGCAATATGCGAGTGTATGGCAGCCGGGAGAAATCGCAAAAGCCACTGGATGCAGGGCTCTGCTAATACCGACATTAGGACTAAATCCGAAGAAATGGTGACCCTTCTGAAGCGTTCGAAGAGGCCGGTCAGCTGGGCGCTGCAGACTTGTGGGTACCTCGGGAAATTCACACTCTGCCTTTCTAGCCTCCTTCCAACTCTTCCCCGAAGGTCGTGCTGAAATGTCAGATAAGTCTTGACAGAGCGTGATTGCTGTATGATAGCTTAGCCCGACTTCTTTTGTACCGTCAAGGGCTCTGGGGAGTGCCGTTAACTCATCGACAAAAGAAGCCCTCCTGGCTAATTAGTCTAAATCTTGGTCTTGGCGCCCAAAGAATATCCAAAGTTGAAAACTCCTCGAAAATATTAGTCCCAGCATGGTCTTCAGAGACCTGTTCCCACTCTCGTTCCACTTCTCAGACGCCTATCCATCCTCAAGAAGTATAACCCCAACATGAGCATCAGTCCCCCATAAACCAAGATCCCAACTTTGTATATTATGACTTAATTTCTTCCTTGCGGGTATATGCAGTGTCGTAAATTTGTAGTGATTGATGGCCGGTAATGAATGAGGCAAGCTCCTGTTTGCAATTGGGGTGACGCCTTTATCAGTTGTCGAGGCGATATGATGTGTGGTTGGAAAGAGGTTGAGGACTCAGAAGATAATGGTGAGTGCTGCATGGTTGAGAAGTCGTCAAATGGAGAAATGGATGTGTTGCTTTCGACTTTGATTCGAATGCGATTCTTCTTGGCTATCCCAGATACGCAGAGCATATTGAACGATTACACTGGCACCACTGGAGGGTGTAGCATTCGTCTTTGCCGGCTTTTAATCCCATTAGATAGCCCGTGCGGGATCTCCTTTTAACAACAGTAAACAACGCTAACACATGGTATACGCAGTCTCCGTTCGCCAAACACCAGTCGGTCGGGACTACTTATTATCGAGCTTAGTAGGATAGACAAAGTGTATCTAAACATAGAAATAATAGAAAACTCAACAATCAAACCCTACATCAATTAGGAAGTCGAAGGCTGAACACCTGTCAGTGGTGTCCTCTACGAACCTGGGAGTGAAATATTCTCCCAGAGCCAAGTTCAGCCGAATTTCGCAATATCAAAGAAGTTGGCCCACGAGGCAATAATTCAAATTACTCCTCCCATCTTTTTTTCGCCCCCAATGAGTTTGACTCCTACCTAAGTCTCATCAAGCCTACAAGTACATCCTCATCCCAATGACCACACCATTCTTCGACCTTCTCTGGCCTCAGTTGACCACCAAATACACGCCTACGCCGATATTTATACCCGACGGAGGAAGCAAAGCGTGGCGCACAAATCTGCGAGACAGTTCTTTGGGATGGACGTGAGAGGGATCAGGACAAGTTTACAAGATGATGCAGAAGAGGGATACATTCTCGACGGGCGTGAAATTTCGAAGATTGGCAAGAGTTTTACGAATTGGGCTTTGTGCGCGCCGAGACTTCGCTTGCGAGAGAGCAGTTAACACTATAAAAACAAGCCGAGGATGGAAGGTTCCGTGGTCCGCCCCCTGGTGGTGTTCTCTGGTATAATCTGAGTAGCCTGGGGACTTACTCCACTTGGGAAGGAGATATCTCAGATCACATTTCGCGCGGAGAAAAGTTGATGGATGACGGAGGCATTTCTGGATAACTCAGGGTTTTTGAGACGTTCCCCTGGGTGGGTATTCACGGATGAGGGTTGACTTGGGGTGAAGAAAAAGCTACCATAACTTCGCAGTGGTACTTGCAAATTAAATCCGAGGCATGAGTGCTCTTCTTGTAAATTGAGTCATCTATTCTGTACTTTTCTTTGATATTGTGTCATAGCTAGATAGCTGCATACGCAATTGAAATCTAATGCAAAAAAGAGTACTTTTTGAGGTGCTGGGTAACGATCGGGTCTCGCCCCGGCTAACTGGGCTCCTTTGCGGGCGTCAGCACGCCGTTTTTATTCATGTAGATCGAGGTAACCGAAACTCCACTCCTGTCTATCGTAAGCGTCGGCCTGAAACAAAATAATAAAAAGAAGTTACTTTTGAATAATGGTTAGAGGCGTACGCGATTTTACAACGTCTTCGGTTTCCGGCTAGCTGGGTACAAATTAACGTTACAAATGATTAATAAATGCAACGTTCATGAACCCTCTATCAACAAATTAATGACGATATTCTGAAATCTTTTAAAATTTGTCTTGACCCTGCCCTCGGTACTTTCTATGAGACATAGGAAACAATTCCATCACGTCCAATCAGATCATGAGCTCAATAAATTCGGCCAAAGACGTGACTTGGAATACTACTGTGATACATGTACACTCATGATAATCATCAGTCACCCGTGTTGCTACGGTCTACCAACGCATTGGTAGCCATTGTGTTAGTCAAGATAAACCCTAGTCAGCAAAGTCGGGAAGGAGGAGTTCTTTAGCTCAATGACTATCAGGGGATGAATGATTGTGGTCTTAAACCGTATGATGAAAAGATTTACTACTGATCTAAAAAGAGGTTCAAGGTGGAGATGTCCTAAATACAACTTGCTTATACATGAGAAACATAGATCCGAGCGCTTTTGCTAATGATCCACACCTTGATCTTAGTGCATGTTCCAACTGCCAAATACAAATGATCGCCACTTAGAATAATTCAACTCAGGTTCTATGCTATTGTTTCGTTCCCTCACAATGACTTTACACTGGATCGTATAATGACATATCAAGTCTGGGTGATCCTACTAGATTTGGGCCGAAATTAGACGATATTTGTTAGTCAAATTATCACGCATTTTTTGAGGTATATCTGTGACGGGCTATTCTAAACAATGTAGAAATTTACTAATACTGGATTGATAAGTTTTCATTTCAATGTGATCTTGCGTGGCCCTTTTCCTTCACAAGTTAACCTATCCGTTTCACTTAATATAACATTAATTTCAAACTGTAAGCATTATTTGGTTTTTCCATCCCAAGAGTGTCAAGGGATGAAAAATCTTCTAGAAATTTGTAAAAATACAAATCACCCATAGAGAATCTCTTTGAGAAACCATGTGCTCCTCTCGTTTGGTGCCAAGTTTTTAATTATTCCCGATGGCCTTTATCAGCCAGAGATCCTGTTTTTAATACTGAGTGCACATAATCAATTAGTAAAATATTTGCTCATCTATCATAAGTCGTAAAAACTTTCATCCGATCTGTTCTAAATTTTAACTACAAGAGGCGAGATCTACTCTAGATTTTCGCTTCCTCTTCGCTAAAGTAAATGGGCTTGTTGAAGATGTAAGTGCTTGGTACCTCTCGTACTCTGAAAGGAAATGTTCTTGCTCCGGGAAAAAATTATCACCAACAGTTTCTAAGTCTTTGCGCAACTTCGTTGGAAATTGGAGAATTTGATTTCTACACAGCTCGGACACTGTGGGATGTTGAAGCAAATTTGGCCGAGTAATTATTTTTGAGGTGGCAGGCTGACTTATTAGGAGCGATGAGGATGAACACGTAGGAGCTGGTAAGGGTTCAATTGGAGGAAAATCTTGATCACGCGTCTATCCAGCAAGTCATCTATTTTGTTGTGGCAAAACATAGTTAATTTTAACTTACAGGAAATGTTTGTTGTCTTCTATTATCTGTGGTAAACAAGACTTCAGGATTTGGATGAGTAAAATCCCTAATTCCTAAGTGAAGACTGCCAATATTATTTGCTTTATTAACCCTGATATCACGACACATATTGTATATTCCAGGGGTATCTCGAACAGAATGGATTAGACTATTTTTAATCCCAAATGAGCCCTCATGAAGCAATAAATCTCCGACGATAGGATAATTTTCTTGAGCCACACTTGGAAAAGTTTCTCTGCTGCTAGATTTAGATATATTATTTCCATTGTTGATACCATTACTGGAAACCGTAGAGTCAAAAGAGCCAGGAGAATCTTTGATGCCGCTGTCTTTAGTTTGACACACTCTCCTTATATGAGATGACGTCGTATTGTGCATATCATGCATATAGTTTTCGTTTCTTCCTTGGATTACAAGCTGGGAGTTAGTATCCCTATTAGTAGAAGTCATATGTAATTTCTCGGTAGAGTTACTATTCTTTCTTTCGAAATTTTGGAATTCTTTTTCGTGAAGTTCATGTTTCATAATTGGAGAGTTTGAATTTTTGCAGGATGATATAATTTCATTGGCCGGAGGAGCTAATGATTCTGGAGTTGAAACTTTTGTAGCCGTGTCAGAAGCACTTGGTGGTGTATGCTTCAGCGCAACACGAAAAACCTTTTTAGGTTGAGAGGGTTTGGAATCATCGACAATGTCTTTAATGGTTCTATTCTTACTTTTTTTAGCAGGTGGGGGAGATTTAACATTTTGAGGAAGTGTTTCAGTAGTGGCTCTGCAGCTCCTTCTCCCTCTAACTTTTACAGTACTATGATGCGTTGTGCTTGGAACCATTACGTTACTTGCAGATCGTATGTTACAACGATCCAATTTCAAGGCCATATCTGTAGATGATGAACTAGATGGGCGACTAGACAGAGCCGCTGAAAATTCAACTGTACTTTTATCAGCTTCAGGTGATGGGAATACATTCTTGTCGAATTTCAAAGCCACAAAAGATCTATTACATTTATTGGACTCAATTTTAGGTTTAGAACAAAGTGATACCTCCAATCGCTCGGGGCAATCTTTTTGAAGACGAGTTTCCTGCTTTTCTTGACCAGCTAGTTTAATTTGTATACAGTTTTTACTGATCATACCTTCTGCGTAAATTCTCTTGGCAGGAATTTCTAGTGCATCTTGTTCTTTCTCTTCGACTGTGCCTGGTAAAATCTTTTTATCACCTAAAGTCTTATTCTCTCCAAATTGCGAGATTAATTCTTGTTGAGAATCATGACTTTTTTCTATGACGTCACTGGCAGCAACGACTGATTTGAGTTTTGAGGGTAGTTTTACCTGAGATTTTGATCCAGGTGGACGGCCAATTCGTTTTCCGGACGCAAAAACTTTTGGTGCTATACTGGGGGTAGACTCACGGCTTGGTACCCGACTCTTTGTCGATACACGAGAAGAAGCCATCCGATCAACTGCGAGCCTTGTGGTGCGAGTACGCTTGACAGGGAGGGATTCTTCTGTATCTGAGGCGACAGGGGTGTTATCAGATTGATCTGTATCGTAATTTCCTCTCTTTCCTCTGACTCTTTTTGGACGAAATTTTTCATCTACGTTGCTAATGTTGTTGACATATTTTGAATTCTCATACCGATCCTTTAAAATTTGGTTGCCGACAAATGCATCCCCAGCTTTGTAGGAAAGACCATACACATCAGTCATCTTTCGGTCATCAAAGATAAGGGAATCGATTACGGGTTTGCGCTTTTTCCTATCTGATTCTTCCATAGCTTTTTGTTCAATTTTACTAGGTGGTGAATCTATAGTATTGGCTAATTTGACAGTATGTGCCTTTAATTCCGCCTTTTGCTTGGCAAAGCTTCGTTTATAATAATCGCTGATATATTGAGGATTTCTTAGGAGCAGAAGAATTTTACGATGCTTGGGATTTTCTTCGACGTGGTTTTGATAGAAATTTTCGTGGAAATTAATCCACTCTTCAACAGTTGACCTAGCAAAGCTTCCATACTTATTTAATAATACTTCGAAAATTGCATCTTTCTCTTTTTGCATTTGCTCCTCCTCAAGCTTGGCTTCCTCTGCGGCGATTTGTTGCTTTGACTTTTTGGCTGCTTCAAAATCATGAAGCTTTTTGTCAATTTTCCGAGCCTCATCTTGCAAAGTAACCATTAACAACGCAATATCTTCTGTTCTTTGATATAATCCGTCGTAAGTCATTGTTTCAGGATTACTGAGGTAATCTTCAACAGTACTTATTGGGATGAGTTTTTTGAACGTAATTTGATTTACAGGGAAAGGCAAAGGATCATTCATGGTTTCTTCCTGAGTGGGAGGTTGTCGATCTGGATTCGACAATCTAATAGCATTCAAATTTTGTGGCTGGCCATAATCGTTTTCTAAGGTGGTCCGAGCGCAACCGATTGGAGTAGGAGCCTGGCTTAACAGGGATAATGTAGACGACATCGCTGAATCTGCAATCGTTTCACAAACGCTGTTTAAATTGTCTCCTTGTAAAGCATGCTTGTGCTCTGAGACTGACACGAATTCCTTTGTGTTGAGGACTCGGTCTTCTGTCTTGGGAGCTGACGAGAAATCTACTGAGTCCACTGTGTATCCCGATAATTTTGGTGGTGTATAAACTTTTTCTTTTTCACCGACATCGTAGGTGACGAATTCATTAGGAACAAATGCAGAAATAACCAATTGGGGATTATTAGTTTGATCGATATAGTGATTAGCTGGACCGCAGCTATCGTTCGAGCCTAGATTAGAGCCCAATTCTCCATTATTCACTAGAGGATTAGACACTCTGCTCGATCTGTAGTAGTTAGTATCATCATTGTTGAGCTCCATGGCTGGTTGATTTGGATTCCACTGTCTTGCAGGGATAATTCCGGGGAAGTTAATGCTATTTGAAGTGTCTGTGGGAAACTGTGAGCCAATTTCAGTGGTGATAACTTCGGAATCTACATCTTCGGCAGATTTTTTATTTCGTGTCATGCTCGGAGAAATAGAAATATACAACACAAGTTAGAGGCGTGACTCCAAGTTTTTGTTACAGTTAGCCACGTGATCTTGAAAGCCCTGGGACTATATTAAAATTGGCAACGTGTAAGTGGAGCCGGAGAGACAAACCAAGTTTTGAGATTAATAGAAGCTATTGAAGTAATGATGGATGTAAATGATAATTGATGAGAGCGAGCTATATTTTGTGGACAATTGCTCGGACGCTGAGACTTCTGACAGATAGCGATTTAGTGGATATGTGGATTGTTTTTTTCGGCAGGTAACTAATTTCAATAGCTAAATTAGAATAATTTGGTGCGTAGACCGATTTCAGTGCCTTTCACGCAAACTGATCTCGAAATTCCTCACAATACTCTTAGAATCTGGAGTGTGCGCATGAGGTTAGGGGATGGAATGTTACTTGAGTGAGTTCTCAATGTCGCTTTGACCCCAATGGTATCCTAGGAGAGATAAAAACAATTGCACAAGGGCCTGTCTGTAACGCTTCCTGTCAAGTGCTGGTTCACAGAAAGTCTGGTCTGGATAGTACCCAAAAGTTGATTGGCCCCGTATATCGATTTAACATCAGGTGCAGAATGATCCATGGACCCTCCGTCAATAACGCGCTCCACTATAATAGGCCTAGCGTAAGATTAGATCTCGGTGTTTAGGACCGATGATTAGTTTGTTAAATATCGATATTCATCTTCGCCACTGGCCAAAAGACTAGTACCATTCAAAGCTTATGGCAACCAAAAAATCCAAGGCTTCTGCGCCAACAGACGAGGAGCTTAATCAGATGCTAGAAGGTCTCGAAGAAGATGTGGCTCCAGCTCTTACCAAAGGCATACCTGCTGGATCAAACTCAACTACGACACCACAGGCTGAGCAAGATATACTGGCTGAATTGGAGAATCTTGGAACCCAGATACCCTCAAGTAGACCTCACACACCACGTGTCGCTACATCTGTCAAGTATGCAACAACCTCTCCGTCACTATCAACTAGAACAAGTGATGACAGAGCTCATGCTCCAAGAAAATCTGGCGATAGTCTGAGATCATTTCACACTGGGTTCACTGTATTAGACGCAAGAGATGAAGGTCTACGATCGAGTAGCAGGACAACTGTAGCCCAGGAATCCAAGCCAAGCACGGGCAGTGGGTGGTGGGGAAGTGTATTTGCAACAGCCTCTGCTGCTGTAAAAACGGCAGAAGCTGCCGTGAAAGAGATCAAAGAAAGTGAAGAAGCGAAACGTTGGGCTGAACAAGTAAAAGGAAACGTTGGAGCACTTCAAGACCTTGGTACCAGATATAAATCCATGAATATCTCAAACTAACTTTTCTAATAGGTGGACAAATATCCTCACGGGCTCTTCCAACATTCACAAACATTCTACACACCTTAGCGCCACCCATCTCGTCTCATGAAAGACTCCAAATTCATATAACCCATGACTTAATTGGGTATCCCCCCCTTGACCCCCTGATATACTCGACCTTTTCAAGGGTTATGGCTCAAGTTGAAGGTGGTGACCTGTTAGTTATTCAACGAGGGCATGAGTCCAGTGCCAGGCGTAATTCAGAGATAGGCATAAAAGGGAGTTCAAGCGGTTGGAATGATGGTAAATGGTGGAGCTATACTCCTGAAGCACGCGATCTATGTGCAGTTAAGGGTCTTGTTGAAGGTACAAAACTGGTACGTGTCAGCGCTGAAACTTATGCCGAAGAGTATTTCAACGTCAACGGTGGCTTGGAGAAAGCTACTAAACGAGCAACTGAAGAACTCAGTGACTCAAACCCAGTTCGGCGCAGTGATATCTTCTTTGCTGTTCAGGCTATTATTCATTATGATTGCCCTGATTATTTCCAAGCCTCTAAAAAAGATCAAGAAAATGATAATATTTCCATAGAAAATGAGGGGGCTGATGAACTAATATCGTTTGCAATATACCTTCTCGACCCTGTACACGGAATCAAATTTCACACAGTTTCTCAATCCTTACCAGCTCAATGGATTAAATGGCTCGACGCATCTAACCCAACTCAGACTATACCCTCCGAGTCTTTACTCGAAAGAAAGGATGTTAAAAGCCTAGATAACTCAAATATATTACCAGAAGAAATAGCACAGATTATTGAAGACGGAGGCATAGATCCAAGGGAATGGGTCGCAGAATGGGTAGAAGAAATATTGAGTTTAGTCACTGGCGTATTAGCGCAACGATATATTGCTCGTCGAATGGGTGTGGGTGACAATACTATTGGAAAAGGTAGGGTGCAGACGGAAGAAGTTCTCAAAGGAGGTGGAGGGGAGGCTGCGAGGGCTACTCTGATTTGAACAAATTTCCTAAATACTTTTCTTTGTGACGAGACGTTTAATTATATTACTATTGGAATAACATATTATGTCCTCTTTAACCAGGCAAGAAGCTTAAAACCACTGAATAAGCCTACAGGAAAGAGTCAGCCTGCGAGACGAAATATATGTAATAACTGACTTCACAATTTACACGTGACATTTATTTTACGGATTTCCGGACCATACGGAAATACTAGCCCATATATATATAAAAAATCCTCTACCCGTGCAAGCTAAGACAAAATCGGGGATCCGCTCTACTCGAATGAAATTTGATTACCGGATAAGGATGTCTTTCCATGCATCTCTGACCACTTGATAACTATTGCTCTTTGGAAGCCAGATCGGGTAGGCTTTCTTAATGTAAGGCTCAGTAGACGAGAATACGTTGCGAATGCAATTGGGCTTGCAACGAATTTGATCCCCCGCCAGGCTAGTATAGCCAGGCTACGATAAGATAAGTTTAAAACAGCTTAGCGTCTCTCTGGATATCAGTATCCGCTTAGCCAGTCTAGCAAGTGCTGATCGAAGTTTCTAAGTGACGCGTTGGTTTAGGCTAATTCACACTAGGCCTAGCTACTATGCTGGACCAGAAAATAGGCTTTAGATGTTTGACAACAAATAACCATCGGGCCCCTTCCCGACCATTCATCCAAATCTCAGGTCAATCGCGTTCTCTTCAGCACTAGCCTACCATTCCTTCCGCCTCCAGATATCCCTGTCAGCTCTCTCTAAGTTGAACAATTTTATCAACAAAACAGATACTTGACTAAAATCTACATTACATTGTTCAGTCTTTTGATCTCCAATAGTCAGATAAAGATTATATTTGGATATGTCTCTATCTCAGAAGTTACAGAATCTAATCAAAGGCCATGGTATCACTTAGATAACCTATGAGAGCCTCATGACATTAACTTTATCAGGAAAACAGTCGCGATCCGTCCCGTCAGATCCTGTCAAAAGTCCGCACGCCAACAATCAAAAGGTTGAACAAGAAAAGGGAAATTACTCCAAGCTTAATGCCAACATGACTGCCCAGAAAACCTCACAAGCTATTCATGGCCACAACATTTTGCCGGCTCATGATGGCCAAAATATTCGAGGCTCAAAAGCAGTCGACAGAGGAGCGCATCTAAATGAACAACAAGTGAAAAAAACCCCCAAAATCGACAAAGAAGAACTGGCGCGTATGGTCGCAGAAGAGAATAAGATCAAGGGAAAGCTACCTCAATATCCGGGTCTAGAACGATGGCAATTAATCGAGAAAATGGGCGATGGTGCCTTCAGTAACGTTTATCGTGCGCGCGATCTACAGGGTAAGGCAGGAGAGGTTGCTATCAAAGTTGTGCGCAAGTTTGAAATGAATTCGAGCCAGGTTAGTTTTGACAAAACGCATTGTACTACTTTAATAAATTGCTGCTACTGCGAAACTCCCAAATAAATTGTAACATCCCAGCCAACAGTGTTAATATTACAGGGAGATGCCCGACTTCATCCGGACTTTAAGAAGCAGCCGAAAGTTGTCGAGGTGCGCATTAAATTTTATTTGTTGACGTTAGTGCTTTATACAACTGGCTACGATTCAAAGTTTAGTACACACCTACTTACTCTCCATAGCGGGTAAATATTTTAAAGGAAGTCTCGATTATGCGTGGACTAGACCACCCAAATATTATTAAACTGGTTGACTTTTCGGAATCAAAGCAATTCTATTACATCATACTCGAGCTTGCACCAGGCGGAGAGCTTTTCCATCAGATTGTTCGCCTTACTTATTTCAGCGAAGATCTATCACGACATGTCATAGTCCAGGTCGCCCGTGCCCTTGAATATCTTCACGAAGAGAAAGGAGTAGTACACAGGTGAGATTGTTCAGATTTGTGTCCCAGTGTGAGATCTGATGGAATTCAGAGATATTAAGCCAGAGAATTTATTATTTTCCCCCATACCCATAATTCCAACAAAAAATCCGAAAGCAAAATCGCCCGAAGACGAAGAGAAGATGGACGAAGGAGAATTTGTACCTGGTCTCGGTGCAGGAGGAATTGGGCAGATAAAAATCGCAGACTTTGGCTTGAGCAAAATTGTCTGGGAGTCTTCGACAATGACACCGTGCGGAACTGTCGGATACACTGCCCCAGAAATTGTCAAAGATGAAAGATATTCTAAAAGTGTTGATATGTGGGCGATGGGATGCGTTTTGTACACCTTACTTTGTGGATTTCCGCCCTTCTATGATGAGAGTATTCAGCTGCTCACGGAAAAAGTTGCAAAAGGTCAATATACATTTCTATCCCCGTGGTGGGACGAGATCTCCAAGTCAGCCCAAGATCTCGTGTCACACCTCCTTACCGTTGACCCAGCAAAGCGATATACCATTAAAGAATTCCTTGCACACCCATGGATTAGGAATAGCAAAGAACCTACATATGCAGCTATGGACGCTCCACCACTTGCAACTCCTGCTGTTGAACGCCAAGCACAACTCGGTGGACCTTTACGTGCCTTTCAACCTGATATCTTACAAGCACAGGGAGGAAGGCGCATGGATTTCCGATCCCCAGGTGCTGTTAACCTACGTGAAGTCTTTGATGTTGGATACGCAGTACATCGACAGGAAGAAGAGGCAAAAGCCCGAAAAAACTTTGGTCCAGCGTATCGAGGTGCTGCAGCTATGAATATTCTCAATCCAATTGATGATGAAGAAGAGTTTTCTGAAGAAGAGAGTGGAGTCACGTCTAAAAACGTACACAGCGATCTGACAAAGGTTGAACAGGACTTGAAGAGCATAGATCTAAGTACTAGTCGATCACAACAACAAAGATCCACCTGCCAACAAGGTGGATCAGCTACAAAGCCACGATCTCAGAACCGGAGTGGTATGTTTGAGTTAAATCTTGAGGGCGCTACTCTTTTAAGCAGAAGAGGCATAAAGGGGCCCAGCTCTTTAAGAGAAACAATGATTGCACAATAGCTAGCGACAAAATCAGAGAGATGAGAAATGAGAAAATTGAAATAACGGCCCTTAATAATTTTTCATTCACTGGTGAGGCGAAAGGTTAGTTCCAAGCACAAAATGTATCTCTGTTTGTTTTGATTTTATTATTCCAATCAAGGTAAAAAAATTGAGAGATAGATCCCACATTTTGGATTGTTAATCCTTCAGTAAAAATTGGATGAATGAGCCGGATCCGGGATGATAACTATGATTTAACGACTATGTACATTTGGCCAGCAAGTGAAACCTCAAAGCTATTTTATCTATGTGACTGAACAAAATGAGAAGTCTATTGATACTGTAAGGTCCAGGGCTTTGTGTATAAGTCTCAATTTTTGCAGTATGGGTCAAATTTAAAGATGGAACAGCAATTTGTCCGTGGGTTTGCCGAATAGTTTCAAAGAGCAGCTGACGCCTCAATATCATTATGACTCGTAAGGAAAAGAGGCAAAAACTACCGAAATAATCATATTTTCCCCCATCATGTTTACGTATTCAGGGAGGAGTTGTTGCTTATTATAACTTTTTTTAAGTCACAGCTTTTTGTTAGTTTCCTAGCACAAACACTTATGTAATGATAACAACCTGTAACCGATAGTTTAACCTGCGGCGCTATTACATCATTATGGAGGGGATACACTAGACAGACCCATATTTCTACGGGTAAAACCGGGTTGAAATACCGCGTGGCACTGGAATTTAGGCGATGGGGAAGGTAAAATTGCAAGTCACTGTAAGTGACAGCGATAAATAAAGCTGTAAAACGAATGGCTATCCATACAAGCTGGGTGCAGGCTGGTGGTGCTGGACACTAGAACGCACAGGTGCGAAGTGGCTAGAGTAATGTTACTTCAGTAGATCGAGACAATGAAGATTTCAAAAAGAGGAAATAGCATATCGTAAGATTTAGCGAAGTAGTCAGTAAGTGTAAATGAGGGATGTCCGTCTAATCTCTATTCTCCGCAATAACCGAATCTATTCAGTCATAAATCTATTAATTAAGCGAAGTTAATGACGTAGCCAATCTATTTCTCTTGGACGCTAAGATGCCCCGCATGAAATATATATGTTCCTGGCCAACTTTCTCGCCCACCTTGGCAGTTAACGATCGTACCCAAAAACGGTTAGGGATCGGGTGCTGTCTATAACGTGGGGAAAATGACGCACACCTAAGCAAGTTACCGTTTAGCAGCAATCGCAGATCCTCTCAACCTCGCTGACACCGTGGCTATTCTTATTTGTTCGCGCAGTTACTTAATTTGATATCAGTTTTATTAGTTTTTGGATTGTGTACGGGATATGTGTGATGAACTATTCAGATCTCAATGTTAAGACCAGGTGGCATGTTAGTTAATTGTTACTTAACTTGATACCTAACGAATGGGGTCTTGTTGAGAATCTGCGTTTCCGGGTCACTTCTGCCTAAGGCACATAGGCACGTACTTCATACTCATTCATTTCCCTAGTTTGACGTCCTATACGGTATATATATGCAGAGCCATGAAGAAGGTGATGGAAATCTAGACTTAGTATATCTGAAGGTTTAGATTTCTAAGTATGATCATCAAGATCAATTCAATTGATCCGATTGCATATGGTTAAGCTTAGCTGGGCGACATGAGGTTCAGTGGTATCTGAAATGCAGTGGCTAGGAAATGCTGCCTTGTAATAATTGAGTGGCTGCTTGTTACTAGATTATTTGGAGTTTGGGATCATTAAAGCCTCGGGGATCTGTATTTAAGGATAGACTTACTTGTGTATGTTAAACCAAGTTAACGGAATATTACATATTTATTAAGGAAATAATGACCCCTCAGTCACTGAGGTCGTAGAGCGCTTTGATTCAAGTAACTGCCGAAGTAAAACTAAGTACAGAATTTGTAGTCACGTGCATACCAACAACGTGGCCTACTTGATAGCCCCAATTATTCTAAATTCTAACAATATTATTAATTCATATTGAGAAGAGAGTTCGATATCGTATATAACTATCAATAAATTCTTGTCCGAAATTGTCACTTGTTCTTCGAGATATTTCCTCCTAGAAATCCTTGATAATTTCTAACAGAAGGTAAGCCATGTTGAGGAGGGAAAAAACTTTTGAGCAACAAAACCCACTGACCGACCACTTTGAAGCGACCCGGCTTAAAGCTGAGGACATTTCATTAACTCCTCCTTCGATCAGACTAATGCCAGAAGGAATTGAAAAGAGAAGACACCTCCTCACTCGGCATTGGTCGTCGAACTGTTTGAAGAGTCGTCCCCGGTGATGGTGCGACTGTCGCGGGGATAATTGATGCCATTGGGGCTTCGGCTACCCTGCGTGGTCGTCCCGACCCTCTTCTGAGTCCTTCCGCAGTTCGCGCAAGAAACCCTTTTCCTCGGAAAGTCCCGAGCTTAGTGAACACCAGCGCACTCACCGTACCTGGCTGTCTTTCCACACGACGCCTGTGTATGTCCTCATTGACTGCAGTTGAAGCAATACTATGGTTGGGATCGTGGTGATCAAACTTGCGCTGTGAAGAGGAAAGCGTTGATAACAAGGCCATTTCGGACCACTTACACTTGTATTACCTCCGACGGGAGGCTGACCGCGATCGATCCCCGATTGCGGCCATTTTTCTTTAACTGCTGGTGGCCCTTACCGTCGTCTAACCATCGTACTCTGCTAATTGCAAGGCCGGCAATCCGAGCCTTGGTCGCTGTCTCAATCTCTATAATGATGGCGTGATTGTCGGCATCTCTGCCACCTTCAAATCGAGTCCGCAAAGGGATACCAGAAACCTCTACAGGAAAGTCTTGACGTAATATCTTAAATTCGGCTAGTTATCGTATGTTGAGCGCCTCGTCTCTCTGGAACGCCGACTGGACGAACACTTTGGTGTCGTTGCTTAGCATCTGGAGATTCGCGAATGCTCCTCGAATATGTTTTCTCGACTTTGAGAGCAGCATTTCTTGCTGAAGGTTTCTAGCTCCGTCGGTTCTTACCCTGACCTCTGTTTTCGCCATTTGTGGGGCTACGAGCGGCGCGCAAGTACTCAGTGTCGGCACCCCCGACGCCGTAACAGGAGCGGATTGTCATGCGGAGTCCGAGAGGTTCATCTTGACAGCTTCCTCGAGTGCCATCATCCAATTCTCAATTAGAAATGGGATGTGGAACGTCGTTGTCCAAGCCTTCTTCAGAGAGCTGAATGCCTTGACAGCTTCATTGATGTCCTCCATTGTTGTTAGGTCCTGCTCATCCATCTCGCCCATGGCGATTAATCTGACCAATTTCTGCAGTTTCTCTACTAATTCAAGGTTATGATCCTTCGGAGCTATCTGAGCCATGCTACCGTTGTTTGTAGTGCTCATTGTAGCTTTTTGTGACGCGTCGAAATCGCTGGTTTTATTCACCCTCACACCCGCCATGTTGAAGCACGCAAGTCGAATTGACGGGAGAGGGGTGAAGAAGATGTACAAATAAGATATTTAAGTCGTTAAACTGATGGTAGTGGGAGCGCCGAACATTGTGTAGCTTTCTGGCAAAAATATTATCTATTTGTTTGTAGTTCTTAGTACGTAAATCAAATAAAACATTCACGTAATATTTTACTTTGTTGTATTGAAGCATACCGTTAATATACATGAACTTGACTATTTTTTACTCTAATTCTTTTTCCTGGAGTAGGAGTAGTTTCAATACCTGTCAGTGGTGTCTCCTGCGAGCCTCCAGCTCTCACTGTAGATTCTGCAGAGCCGACTTTGGGTGGCAAAGTCCTCACTTCGACGAGGATTCTCAATCGATTTCGCAATCTGTATCGTCTTCATCTCTTAACACGTCCCCCTATAATCATTATCATGAAGCTAACCACGATCAGATCAGATGGTAGGGTCGGAGCCCTTCTCATCACCAACTCTTGATCATCAAGGAGATGCCATCCGATGAGCTTCCGGAGCTTACCCAGCACCTGATATGGAGATGGCGGATTGGATCAAGTCGGCCTCGACTGTTACAAAGAAGGGAGATATAGATGAATATGCGCACCTCATGTGGGCCCGGTGTCTAGGCCTCGCCTGGCTGGGACTGCAAGTTTTTTGTAACTTTTCCCGCGCACGCAGTTTCTATTGCTTCCATTTTTTTGGGTAGAAAGTTCCGGAGAAAAAATGACCGAATTCCACGGGTAACTACTGAGCTGAATGGCTATTCATCAAGGGGAATATATTAATGATCTTTCAAGTAACAAAAGAGGATAGGAGCACTATACAAGGTGTGGCCTGGATCAGAGAGGAGCCCAATGTGCTGGATAGACGTGGACTCAAGTAGTACTATAAATACACCTCTCACTCTCAACACTGTTGTCGTTGTTGTTTCTGTTGAATTTTTAAAGCCCTGAGCTAAAGTAAAAGGCTCTACATCCTCCTATTGGTACAGGCCGGCAAAGACGAATGCTACACCCTCCAGTGGTGCCAGTGTAATCGTTCAATATGCTCTGCATATCTGGGATAGCCAAGGAGAATCGCATTCGAATCAAAGTCGAAAGCAACACATCCATTTCTCCATTTGACGACTTCTCAACCATGCAGCACTCACCATTATCTTCTGAGTCCTCAACCTCTTTCCAACCACACATCATATCGCCTCGACAACTGATAAAGGCGTCACCCCAATTGCAAACAGGAGCTTGCCTCATTCATTACCGGCCATCAATCACTACAAATTTACGACACTGCATATACCCGCAAGGAAGAAATTAAGTCATAATATACAAAGTTGGGATCTTGGTTTATGGGGGACTGATGCTCATGTTGGGGTTATACTTCTTGAGGATGGATAGGCGTCTGAGAAGTGGAACGAGAGTGGGAACAGGTCTCTGAAGACCATGCTGGGACTAATATTTTCGAGGAGTTTTCAACTTTGGATATTCTTTGGGCGCCAAGACCAAGATTTAGACTAATTAGCCAGGAGGGCTTCTTTTGTCGATGAGTTAACGGCA